AATTTCATTTACACGTCCCTATACACATACACACATATACATATATATATAAAGATAAAGATTATATCAATGGATAAACAAAATTAACCATAATTCAATATTTTGGAATTTTCAATCCATATTGTGTCATTTCATTTCTCTTGGTTCTTACTTTCATATATACAAAAATATAAGATAAACAAAACAAAAGAAATAAGCGTGTTGTATTAATTGTATAATATAATAGAATATCAAATCAACACAAAGAAATTTGTAACTGAAAATAACTATTTAATCCGAATGAATTATAGTAATCATAAATAAAAAACCGTGTAAAGAAAAAGTTGTCATCCTTTTATTTATATAATCACCCTCAATGTTCCAACATATCATCTTTTTATCAATGTGAAATCGACAAAGTTAACTACAACTCAATATTTTGGAATCCTCAATCCACATTGTGCCATATCATGTCTTTTGGTTTTTACTTATAGATTATAGATATATAGATTATATATTTATAGATATAAAGATTTAAAAGTTTATTATATTATTATATGTAACTTATATATAAAAAGTAAATGAAAACTCTAAAAGTGTTGTAAAAAACAAACTCTCCGTTTCATTGAGAAACTTCGGAAAATTATAGAAGAGAAAAGTAAAAAAAAAAAACAAAATTCTAAAATCCCAACAAAAATACAAAGGAATGCATACCTGAATTAGTCTTCTCGAAATAAACTTGAAAATAACAATTTATGAAATGAAAAACAAATCAAGTGATGGAGATGAAGAAAAATAGATTAAATGATGAACAATTCATAAAAAAAGAGTTAGAAAAAATGAGAGGATTGTGTTAAATGCAAACATAAATGAAAATCAATGTTTATAGACAATTAGAATGTGAAATTAAAAAAATAAAGATTAAACATAAATGGAAATCAATGTTTATAGACAATTAGAATGTGAAATTTAGGAGAAACCAATTCATCAATCTTGGTTTCTCCTTTAATAATATATATATATATATATATAGAGAGAGAGAGAGAGAGAGAGAGAAAAGATCAAATGTTAACCAACAATTTTGTGTTAACTTTGCAAACCATATCAACCAATCAAATTTCATTCTTCTAATAGGTTTATGTCATATTCACAAGTTAATTACAAGGGTATTTAAGTAAATTGATTTGATATGTAACTCCCAAACAATTAATGGGGAGTTACAAATCATCAAATCAATTTATATATGCATTTAAAATATTATATATATATATATAATATTTTTTAATCTTGATTTTCCATGTTCATTGTTTTATGAGTTTTTAATTCGCATAGGAAACACTATAGTAAAATTTTCGGTATCGATCAAACTAATATGGATAAACGCAATGGAAAAGAAATCGACAACAGTGAGAAAATTAAAATGGTTGATGATGACAATTGGAGTTC